GTTGAGCTAAACAAAAAATATTGTATTAGTCCTGAAGAAATATTACCACAATAAATTTCCATCATAAAATAAATATTATTGTTGATATATAGAGCAACAACTTTGGATACTGAAATTAAATATATGATGAATAAGAAAATAGAATCTATGAAATGATGTTTTACAACTTAGATTATGAAATTTCATTTATAATGGAATGATATAAAGCTGATATCAATATTCTGACAGTTGGAAATGCATGACACTTATGTAAGGAAGGAAATTGTTAGATATCTGTCAAGAGATACATACATAAATATTAAGACATGTGTTTTTAAATCGTAATTCTTAGTGCATTTATTTCATTTAGAAAAATCGAATAGTGAAAGCCTTTTTATATAAATCTACATACGCTACGGTATCCAGTTAGGAATATTATGAAGTAACGACATTGGTGCCACTAATAATCATATGGTTTTTCTTAACTTAAATATATTGAAGATTTCAGCCACATAATTTCAATTGAAAGTGCGGACATTTTACGTTTCGGTACCTCAATGAGTAATATGATTCTTAACAAAAATGTGCACTTTAGTAAATTTTTGATTTTGCTCGAAAGAGTGTGTTGGATAAATTGGCTGCGTCCTCGCAAAAATATCCTTCATACATATTTTCAAATGAAATTCATTTCATTAGGTATTTCAAATTTTCACAATAATTTAATTTAAGTTCATTTAAGATAAATTAAACAGCAAATTGATGCATACAAATAGACAAAATGGTAGTTTTTATATCCTAAACAACTATGTTGTCAGGGTAGTATAGCTTTGTGCAGCCCCAAGTGTTTGCCGCGAAATATTGCATACTTTAAGCATTATAAAATTTGTAAACACCATACAGGCCAAAGCTATGGAACAATCTTCACGAAATGTTGCATATAGGACCGGTTCCGGCCAATGTTTTCGGTAAAAATGGGTTAATATTTAGGGTATGAAATGGACCAAATACATAAAATCGTGAACATTTAACTCCAGGAAGGGAATCTGACCAAGAATAAGCATACCTGTTTTAATGAAGACCGGCCAATATTTAGCGGGTCAAATGGACCCTAACTTTTACAAAATTTGTTTTCAATGGCCTATATATTTATTCCTGGAGGACATAGACCGGAGTAGTTGATAGTATATCCAAGGTTAGTGGTTGACCTTTAAATTGTACATATATTGCTTTATGTACACGGATTTAGGATTTATACGTAAATGTGTATACCCTGCACCACACTGTGGTACAAGGTATTATGTCTTTGTGCATATGTTTGTAGCAGGCAAAAAGAAAATATATATGGCTGTTTTTGTGAATATGCATTGAATCGCTTTCTGATTCGATTTATACATGTCCACCAGTCCGTCTGTTGATGTTAAATTGTAAACAGGTCGCATTTATGATCCGAATGAGATTAAATTTGGAACAGCCCATTTATTTGGCCCAAGGACGAACCCTATTGAAATTGGTGAAAATCGGTTCAGATTTTGATATTACTTACTTAGCTGGCTTGTTACAGAACTGTTGTTCCATAAGCCGAGTTTAAAAAAGATTTCCAAGCGCGTCGGTCTTGTGCGCAAATCCACCAATTTGGAAGACCACGTTCCACGTTCCATCAGACTAGTTTTTATATGCCTTTTGAGCTGGGGCATTCTTATTCATCCGCACAACATGGCCTAGCCACCGTAGTCGCTGCAGCTCAGTACGACTGACTATGCCAATGTCCTCGTATAAATTGTTAAGCTCGTGGTTCATTCGACGCCGATATTCACCGTCGACGCAGATCGGCCCGTAGATCTTTCGGAGAATTTTTCTTTCAAACACCCCAAGAGCTGCCCATGCTTCAGATCCATACAGCAGCACTGGTAGTATCAGCGTCTTGTAAAGTGTGAGTTTGGTCTGGCGGGAGGTGGCATTGTTTCTAAACTGCTTACTTAGTAGCATCTGTTGGCCACCACAATCCTTCTCCGAATTTCATAACTGATGTCATTCGTTTTATTTATGGCGGTATATAAAGTTTTTAACTACCTCGAAGCTGTAGTTCTCAAGTTCCTCAGTTTGTCCGAGTCCACCGGACGTCTTGCGCGGTGATACCATTTACTGTAAGACCCACTTTGGCAGACTCCTTTTCAATTTGTTCAAAGGTGGCTGTTACCGCTCGCAATGTTCGACCCATTATATCGATGTCATCTGTTCACCTTTGCATCTCGTATGACCTTTTCCAACAGGATGTTAAAAAGATTGCACGACAAACTGTCACCTTGTCTAAATCCTCGTTCTGTATTGAAGGCTCCTGTTATAGCTCCGACATATATTTTCATCCGATTTTATATAAATGGTGGACAAAAGCCTATATATTTATATATATATATATATATATATATATATTTCTTTCGATTTGCACAAAGTTTGGCATAGCGTACTGAAATAAGTCCAGAATGATGTGTGTTAAGTTTCGTGAAAATCTTGTTCAGTTTTAGATATAGCCCTCATATGTATTTTCGTCCGATTTAATGTAAATGGTGCACCAAAGCCTCTACATATCTTGCGATTTCCACGAAATTTGGGATAGCGTACTGACATGAGTCTATAATGATGTGCGGAAAGTTTCGTGAAAATCGGATATAGCTCCCATATATATTTTCGTCCGATTTTATGTTAATTTTGCTCTAAAGCCCCTACATTTCTTTTGATTTTCACGAAATTTGGCATAGCGTACTGAATAAAGACTAGAATAAAGTGTGCTCAGTTTCGTGCAAATCGGTTCTGATTTTAATGTAGCTCCCATACATTTTTTCCGATGTTTGGCCAAATTATATATCTATATATATCAAATTAATATATCCTTATTTGTGTCAAGTTTTTTTTGAAATCGTTTCAGATTTACATATAGCTGTTATATATGTTTTTGTCCGATTTTAAGTAAATGGTGCACTAAATGCTCAAAGCTGGGCCAATTGAAATAACATTTTTAAACTCCTAATGTTTGTCCGATTGACACGAAATTTTGTAAAACGTATCAAATTGAGACTAGAATGGGGTTTTTACGTTTCGTGGAAATTGGTGCATATGCGGACATAGTTTCCAAATATTTTCGACCGACTTCATGTTAATCAAAGGGTATCTGATTGAGATTAAAATGTGAACAGCTCAGCATACCGAATAGCGTGTGACAAGTTAGCTTTAAACCGATTTATATAAATTTGTACCATTGTACGCAAACGACTCTAAATCTGTCCGAATGAATTTATATTTAGCATAGTTTGCAGAATGGGATGTGAATGGATTGACATTAGTCGGACCAATTCATGTCACTGTTGAATTTCATGCCACTGTTCCTAAGTAAAGGCGACGTCTTTTAGGATACATATATAGAATATACCCAATGTTGTGAAGGGTATCATATAGTCGGTCCAGTCCGACTTCACTACTTTCCTCACTGGTTTTTATAGAATACTATGGATGTAATTTTCCAGATTTAAAACCACAACCACCACGACAAAAAAGCAACAAACAATAAATTCTAGCAAATTGTTGTATTCCCCGTGGGTACAGGAGTGCACCTCAGCCTATTGATGGATTGCAATGAATTTGCCATTTCAAGCGTATATTATATTGGACCTGTCATTTAATGCGGATCAATATAGATAATTTTTTAGTAGGAACATTTTATTCCTATTAAGAAGCGAAAATGCCAAATCACAGCTGATGAGATTAAAAATCGTGTCCAACAATTTCAAAATAGCGAAGATTAGGGATTCCGTTATACGAGGGCTTCCCAAACATCCTTGAAATAATATCAAGGTATGTGAAAAATTTCAAAACTTTATCTTAAGTATCATCTTAACACATATACGGACTTGTGGTGGAAGGTATAATAACTGCTTTCGCTTTCAATATAATCAGCCCGAGATACCTAGCCTATCTTCAATGCATCAACGAAAATTAACCTTTGGTCAGTTCTGGATAATATTTAGGAGGTACCCAGACGCAAGAGCCATTTTTTCCTCAAATTGGAATTCATATTGTAAATTATTCGTAATACAAAATAACCTTCCTGATATTACATCAAATTTTGCACTTTTGTGTGTGGGTGTGTTTATTGGTTCGTGTGGCAGCTGAACGTTACACCTTATTATATAAAACCCAGTTAGAAACTCTATAGATGATCTGGCTTAAAAGCATATTGATAAATTATTTAAATGTAGACTTCCAATTTATATCAGAATAAATAAATATTTTTCCCAAATAATCTACATTAAACATGTTGTAGTTATGATCCAGAGAATTTTAAATTTCAATAAACTTAAAAAACAAAATATTTACCACAAAATTTAAAATAATATATTACTTTTGTTCTGGCATTCCACGAATTTATTCCATAAATTCCAATTAATTTCAACAGCGAACAACATAATAATAATTTATTATTTATAGCATTTCTTGCAATAAAAACCACATTTGTTAATGGAAATTTAAATAAAAATTGTCGCATGCCTAAATATTAATCATACCAACACCTGCTATAATAAATACAAATTATGTATGCCATGAGTCTATTTATAAGGCACAAAGGTAATATATTGTATTTAAACAGCACCGTAAAAATGATTGGTGTTTAATAAATTATTTGAAAATTTATACCATTTAAATATTATTTATAACCCAAAATTTAATATCATTGAATTTGTCATGATGCTGTTGACAAAGCAGCCAACTCCTTCCATGACAAATTCCAAACAAATTGCAAGTCTGTGGTTACCTTTCAACATTCTTGGAATACTGCTACTACCTGTTTGCATTTCACATTCATTATGCACATCAACAATACGTATGCCAACCCGGTCTATGTACCAAATTGTGTAAAACTTGACAAAATATCTGGTGTACTTTTCTTAAAACCTATTACATGTTTATTTTCATGTTCCCATTGGATATTGACATTTGGAATTTCTTTCTTTCATTTCTTCTTGCAACAGATATGGTTTGCCCGATAAGCCCTTGGAGCTGGGACGTGTCACGCCCGGCACATATTGTACACGTCAATTCGATGAATGCTATCGCAACAAATGCCGTTTGCAAAGTCCCAATTATCCTGGCATGTATCCGAGAAATGTCACGTGCTACTGGACCATACGGCAAAAAGAAGTTCCTACCAGCAAACATGCCATGATTGCTGTCAGCCAAGAAAATCAACATAAAGCTTTAGTTAAGAGGTAAGTACAATTGTTCAAAGGGGGGAAACCAATCATGTGAGAGTTCTTTTTTATTGTATGTTGGAAGGAGAACATGTATATTTGTGTGGTTTTATCGGGGAGATGTGTGATATGTAAAATAGACAAAATGGAAAATAATTTGTGAAGAAGTTCTTTGGCCTTTTTTGAGTTTGGGAATGGAAAAGGTCAAAAGGAGCAAATTGTATTTGCATTCACATGTTTTACATGTTTTACAATATTCTATAATACGTCGCTAGCTTCTTGGGGAGGTCTTCCAAATTTCTACATATAAAATCATCGCCAGTCGCTTTGGGAAGCCTACAAAATTGAAGGCTTCCCCAAGAGGGAAGCTCCCAACTATTCGAACGATTACATCTTAACAATACATACGCCTACTCTATATGAAATAAAAACGATGGTCTCTCTAAAAGACCATCACCTATAAGTATGATACCCTTCACCACTTGGGGTATATTCAAAAATCGCGTCACATATTTGAAGGATCATTGACATGAAATTGGACGAACTTAAATATATATTAAATATTATTTACATCTAAACCGACTTAAATCAATACAGAAGTGCTATATCTAAATCCGAACCGATTCAATAAAAAAAACTTGACACAAGTGAAGACAATAACAAAATCAGTAAGTTTTGCAAAATGTTGTGACAATCGATAATATCTTGGGTCATTGGTGCACCATTTACTTAAAATCGGACGGATATATGTAGGAGCTACATTTAAATATGAATCGACATCAACAACATTTCGCGCACACCATTCTAGACAAAATCCAGAACGTTATGCAAAATGTCGTGCAAATCGAATGAGATATGTATGTGGGAGCTATATCTAAATCTGAACCAATTTCATCGAAGCTTGGAACATAATTTGCACGATTTCCTGTAAATCGAAAGAAATATAGGGAGTTTGGAACATCACTTGCACAAAATCTGACGGAAATTTATATGGCAAGTGTATTTAAATCCGAACCGATTCCAAACAAAAATTTGACACAAGTTAGGCCATACTAACATATTTGACCATATTATCGGTATTGATGCACCATTTACCTAAAATCGGAAGAATATAGGAACTATATATTGATCCGAACCGATATCAACGAAACTTAGGGCACAGCATTCTAGACAAAACGTTATGCAGAATTTCGTGCAATTCGAAAGAGATATATTTACATAAAATCGGACGAAAATGTATATGGGAGCCATATCTAAATCAGAGCAGATTTCATCGAAACTAGAGGCACATCATTCGTGGCTCAATTCAATGCGCAATACACAATTTTGTATAAATCGAAAGAAATGTAGGGGTTTCGGTGCACCATTTGCTTAAAATCGGACTAAATCAGTACGTGTAAAATTTTGTCTCAATCGGACAAACTGTGGGCCTTTGTTGAACCATTTACATAAAATCGGATGAAAATATATATGGGAGTTATATCTAAATCTGAACCGATTTCCACAAAACTTCGCGAACATCATTCTGGAATTAATTAAGTACGCTGAGCAAAATTTTGTCTCATTCGGACACACCTTAGGCGTTTGGTGCACCATTTACATAAAATCGGATGAAACTAAATATGGGAGCTATGTCTAAATCTGAACTGATTTGCACAAAAATTCAAGTACTTCAACCTGTGCTGGTTTTAGAATAATATGCAAAATGTTATCACAATTGGACAAACCTTAGGCGTTTGGTGCACCATTTACATAAAATCAGACGAAACTATATATGGGAGCTATATCTAAGATTAAATTTAATGAATTCAGTACGCTGTGCAAAATTTTGTCTTAATTGGACAATCGATGAAAATTGGGCCCACGATTTAGGTGAAATCGGACGGAAATATATATAGATATCTAAATCCACTTCTCCAAATTCAATAGGGTTCGTCCTGGAGTCAAAAAGTGACCTGTCCAAAATTTCATTCAAATCGGATCAGAATGCGACCTGTGCTTTGTTTTCAATTTAAGATGGGCAGGACGTACTAACTGAAGGATTTTCATAAATCGACTCTGAAATCGATTCTATGCAAAGGAACCTTGGATCTATATTGTATATTTTTGCGTGTTTTAAACATAACACGTATTTAAAACATGCACTAAGACATAATACCTTATACCACAGTGTGGTGAAGGGTCTAAATATTATAGCAACGATGTCCTCATAGAGAGGCCTTCACCTGTTATATATAGAATTGTATCGATGGCCTTTAACAGGAGGCGTTCAACATTTATTTAATAGCATAGATGGCCTCTGGAAGGGTAGCCTTCAATTTTTCTATGTAGTATCGATTCTATATAGAATAGTATCGATCATTCAGCTATTCTATATAGAACAGTATCGATGGCCTCTTGGGGGAGACCCAAGAATATTATCGACTATTCAACTATTCTATATGGAATAGTATCGATTGCCTGTTGGGGGAAGTATTAGTGTGAATGTATTCGTTCCGAAGCCTTCAACTAAAGGGGTATGTGTAGCTTCTACAAAATCAATAATTTCTTCCTTCCAGACAGTCCAATAAATCATTTAAAATTAAGGATTAATAAATTAACATCCCACCAAGACCAATATACCTTCCCAATTTGTTTCCCCCTTCATCAATTGGCCAAATAAAAAATGTAATTTTTCCCCATTTAACACCACAACAACCACGAGAAAAGAAACCGACAAAAACACATTCTATCCAGGCGATTAGTGATGCCATTCAAGCAATTGATGTATTCCCCTTGGGTGCGGGAATACACTACAGCTTATTGATGGGTTGGTGGGTGGTTGCCAAATTCCTTTAATGGATTTGCCGTCGTATCAAGCATATCTTCATTTTTTGTGTGGTGTATGTGTGTGTGTTTTGTGGTTTCTTTGAAATTCTTTTTCATTCATTTCTTTTTTTACCGGTATCTTCTATTCCAAAGGGGGCCATTGCAATTTTCAATTTAATTGTTTGCACTTGGAATAAATTTGTTCACTGATTTTCTTTTTATTCTTCTCTCTCTTTTGCTCGTTCCAGGTCCATTGCAAGCTTTAACAAAACCTCGCGTTCAATACGTGCCTGGTCGGATTGCACCGGTGAACGTGATCATTTGATATTTTACGATGGCAGTTCAACTAATGATCCGGTCTTGGCCAAATATTGTGGCGGTGATTGGTTGCCAAAAGTTGTGTCACGGTAAGTAAATGCCAGTAAAGATTGAAGATGATGTTTTGGTGTAACATTTTATTTTTCGATGATCTTGATAAGGTGATAAAAATAAAAAAATATGACTAGATACAAATTTTTGAAAGAAATAAGTAAAAAACGACGTAAGTTCCCTAGGAATGTCCTGTATGTACCGCCCACCATTCAAATTTTTCTATTTAAAATACCCTAAAGTAGTCGTCTCCCATATATGAAGAGGATAAAAAACTTTGGTCTTAAAATATCTACCCATTAGATTTTAAAAATTCAGTCGGGTTGGATAATTCGAAAAGGATCCCCAACATATGGAAAAATATTTACGACCTTAATATGGGGGCTACATTCAAATTTCTCGTCGAAGGTGGGTTTTACCCACCAAGAGTACGGAATTCAAAATTGCAGTTCATTCAAAGGGAAAAATAACAAGTGAAAAGCGGCCGGGCCGAACTTTGGATACCCTCCACCATAGATATACTGACACGTACTTGAAATGAAAATAAAGGGAACATACCAAAAAGTGACCTTTCTACAAACTGATTATGTAAACCATAATGTACATCAAATACAAATTTCAGCAATTTTTAATGAATATTTATACCCTCAGCCTTATGGCTAATGAGGGCGTATACACTTTGATACAGTGAAAATGTGCCTCGTCGAAATATTGGTTCTAGACCCCACGTTTTTTTTTTTTTTTTTTTGACCAAATCCATTTCAGAAAATTTTTATTTCATCCAAACTTTGCCTATCTTATTATTTATTCCAAATTTTTTTCAAGTTTGAAAATGGGAAATATCGGTCCACTCCTTCTGGTACGTCCCACACAGGGGCTAGGCCTAGGTCTAAATACGGGCTATAGTACATTATCGAACCTTAAATTCTATCCTCCGCAGGTGAAATGATTACAACAGAGTCTTACAACCAAACCCAAAACGCAGAAGAAATCAGATAACTATTTTATTATAAACCTGTAAGGAAAGCAGTAAAGTCGGACGGGACCGACTATATGATACCCTTCACCACTATGGGTGTATTATGAAATCATGAAATTGTATGAAATAAAATATGTGATATTTATCTAAATGTGAAACGACCTAGATCTATCCATAAACATGTCATTCGTTTGTTACAATGGAACAAAAGTAGGTAAATCGACTTCAAACAAATATCAAGAGGTCATCCGTTGGGCTAGGTCTGTACTTCTAGAAAACCCAACTACGTTATTCTATGCTCAATTTTGTACGTTGTGCAAAATTTGATGTCAATCTAACAAATATGAGGAGTTTGATGCACAATTTACTTATATATGGATGCTATATCCAAATATGAACCGATTTCAACGAAACTTGTCACAGGTTAGGTTATACTAATTTCAGTACGTTTTGTTCCATTCAACCATATATTGGTTCCTTGATGCGTCAATTACATAAAATCAATCTATAATATAAATATAAATCTCAACCGATTTTCATTAAACTTGGCACAATTATTCTGGATTAAACTCAAAACGTATGCAACATAAGAACTTGGTACATTATTTAGATTAAATCGGACGAATATATATATATATATATATATCTAGATCTGAATCGATTTTCACGAAACTCAGCACACATCATTCCAGCATCAATTCAGTACGTTATGCCAAATTTCGTGCAAATCGAAAGATATATGGGACTTTGGTGCACCATTTACATGAAATCGGACGAAACTATATATGGGAGCTATATCTAAATCTGGACCGATTTTCACGAAACATACCAGACATCATTCTAGGCCCAATTCAGTACGTTATACCAAATATCGCGCAAATCGAAAGATTTACATTTACATTAAATCGGACGAAAATATATATGGGAGCTATATATATAACTCTGAACCGATTTTTCCCAATTTCAATAGGGTTCGTCCTTGGGCCAAACAAATGAGCTGTGCCAAATTTCATCGAATTCGAATAATAAATGCGACCTTTACTTTGCTCACAAAAATACATGGACAGACTGACGGGCAGACGGACGGACGGACATGCTTAAATCGACTTAAAAAGTGATTCTATGCATATTCTCAGAAGGAACTATGGGTCTATCTCGTTTTCTTTTGCCTGTTACAAACATATGTACAAAGACATAATACCCTGTACCACAGTGTGGCGAAGGGTATAAAAAGGGGGTTATATGGGGACTACCCCAAAAAGGGGACGAGTATTAATAATTTTTGGTAGGGAGATTTGTTACCATATACGACTACAAAACGCGCTCAAGAACCCCAAAATACCAAAAATGGGGGGTACCTTTGTATGGGGGCTACCAGAAAAAGTGGACCGATATTTATAATTTTTAGTTTAGATATTTGAGAATTCGGGTGAAAAATGCGCTCAAGAACCCCAAAATACCGAAAATTGGGATTACCCTTATATGGGGACTATCCGAAAAATTGACCTATATTCATAATTTTTTGTGGAGAGATTTGGGACCTATTAAGAACTTAAAATACTAAATTACAGCTAATTCGGCAGAAAAATACGATCAAAATCCCCAAAATATTGAAAATTAGGAGGTACCGTTATAAGGGGGCTACCAGAAAAAGTGGACCTATACTTATAATTTTTTGTGGAGACATTTAGTACCCAATAAGAACCCAATGTAGCAAATTTCAGCGAATTCGGTTGACAAACTCACTCAAGAACCCCAAAATACCGAAGATTGGGGGCACCCTTATATGGGAGCTATGCCTAAACGTGGACCGATAAAGTCCATCTTTGAACTTGACTTGCATGCAGACAAAAGACTCTATGCAAAATTTTGGCGATTACAACGGATAGACGGACATGGCTATATCGTCACAGAATTTTACGCTGATCGGAAATGATTATTTCGATGAGTTACAAACGGAAAAACAAAATTAATATACCCTTCATACTATGGTGGAGGGTATAAAAATGCCCAAAATTGGGTAGAACCTATATATGGAGGCTAAGTCAATGCAATTTTTATTCAATTTTTATTATAAGGTTTGTGTTCTGGTCTGATCTTCTGAAAAAAACATCTCCTTTAATTTTCTTAAAAAAATGAACCTCATGCCTTTAAATTTTCGCCAAAATAAATTATTTACCTTAAATTTTCGTATCTCCAAAATTCAGTTCATCTTTGCCAACTCATTTCAAAATTTCCCTGCATATTTACCACATTTAGAGATTTTCCATGTAAAGTGAATAGAATTAGCATAAATTTCAGTTCATTTTTTAATTAGTTTTTTTTTCTTCTCCCCAGTAGTTAAGCAGTGAGCTCGCCAGCCATCCAGTCAGTTTGCCCAGCAATACTTCATCTTTTGCGAGATTTATTTATTTTTTTCCCAACATTAAGAAAGTTTATTACTCCATAGAATTGTAAAAGCATACTCTGTTTGAAAAAATTATCTAACGCCCACTTCAGTGGCTCATTTCATGTCAGATTTTAACTTTGAAACTGAAGGAAAATGGGGGTGGAGGCGGTTAGACAAACATGGTAAATGCTCATTTGCAATATGAAAATGTATGAACGAATTGTGAGAAATGTAAATGAAATAATGGTGGTGTTGAAAACTCCTTCATCACCAAGCAAATACTAACTGACTGTTTGGCAGACACACAGCAGGCGAAGTGACAGACAGACAGACAGACAGACAAGCAAATGAACGATTTTCAATTAGCATTTCTAATTTCCATTTTTCCAATTCGATGTTTGACGGCAATGCTAAAGACGATTGAATTTGTTTCACCGAGACTCATGAAAACGATGATATTGTGCGCTGGTGGTAATGACGACGATGATGACTGTGATGAGGGTAAGCTACAACATTAAGGACCAACTTTGTGTTTCTTTACAATTCCAAATGATGTTTTTTCACTTCTTTTCTCATTAGAAACTGGAGATATTTGTTTTTTCTGTTTTTTAATATTTGGTTCCCAAATATACTTAACATCGCATTGCCACCCATCAGTTTTTTCTTCTTCCATCCTTTTTGCATAATTGGTTTTTCTCGCTTCATTATTTGTTTTACATTAATTTCAACTCCAGCATCGTATGCATAATTTCCATGGTGTGCTACCCGAATGAGGTTCTTATACTTCATATACGAATTCTTTTCTTTTTAGCTATATATGCTTGCGTGTATTTTTTCTTCTTTACCACATATTTCATTTTCCAAATACCAAGCAGATTTTCTTCAGAGAATTCATTGAGTAGCTAGGCAATGTTAGTGGAAAGGGAAATAGCACCAACAAGTTCAAAAGATGGAAATCTTCACACATGAAATAAATTAAGTAATGCCAGAATGTTTTCCAGAATTTTGCACTTTACAGAACGACAGTGGTGTTGGAGATGATTGTGTATAGTATTAATCTACATATTAAAAAAAAAGATTTAATGACGGTCGTTAGCACATTAACACCTAGTCAATTCTTAGAATGTACATTTTGTGTCCGTATTTATTTCTCCTATTATAGCCTTCCCCTAAAGCATAACCAATTCCAACAAAGCTATACTCAATTCCACAGGATGTGTAAAATATCAAGTGAATCGGAAACTATGTTGTGGAGCAATATCTAAATTTGAACCAATCTCAGCAGTGTTCGTCCTTGGGCCAAATATACGAGATGTGTCAAATTTCATCTTATTCGGATTATAAACGAAGGAACAGACCAACATGCGTAAATCCAACTTAAGAAGTGATTTACAAACCTTTTCACAAAAACTTAATACCTTGTGTATGGTACAAAAATAGTTCTACTCGATTTTACAATCAAATGATCTTTATTTGTCATTTCGGATTCTGGAAGGGTAAAATAAGTATTTTCCCAAAAATTTCATATTTTGACATATCCCCGTGCCCGAAAATTGTCATTAAGAGATATTTGGTTCAGATTTATTGTTTTGGCTTGTTTCATAAGTCGAGCTTAAAAATTATTTCCAGGAGCGTCGGTTTCGTGCGTAGCTCTTTCAATCTGCAGGAAC